GTGCTCGTTTTGATTGTACTTGGCTTATGTGCCCTCAAGTCAGAACCAACTTATAGTGGCCCTGATCAGACTTCCTAGATAAGTGAGATATTTAAGGAGTAGTTTTACCTGTTATGTTTCCCTGGCGAGTTTCAACCTAGTTATGTTGATTTACAAAACCCTAAATGACTTGGAGCCAAGCTATTCGAAAGAATACATCTCCCTATATGAGCCTGCCCAGCTTTTAAAAATCATCAGAGAATGCGTTCGTCTCCATCCCATCACCCTCACAGGTACGTTTGATGAGGACATGAGGACTTCTCTGTTGCTACTCCCAAACTGTGGAACTCCCTCCCCTCATCGGAGCTCAGACTGTCAGACACAGACTTCCAGAGTTGGGACTGGTTGTGGGAACTGTGGCTGTCAATTTGGACTTAAATTGCACTGGTGTCTCAACTCTGACTCGAATTAGGATTTTTTTTCAGTGACTATGACTTTACTCAAGACTTGGAACCCACTCACCCCTCCCCTTTTTCTGGGGCAAAAAGCTTGTTTTTAATAAGGACTTCAGCTTTTGGACACAGGACTTGGTACCACAGAAACATACTTGGACCCAAAGACTTTCCAACATCCCTGGACTTTTCAGTAACTGGCTGCCTAAGAGGGGGTTGCTGCCTCACTCCCTTTCTCTTCCAGTTTTTATATTGTTTGCTTTAATATTGCAAGTTGCTTTGGATCGTCTTGAGGAGAACAGAGGGTATAAATATTTTTTAGTTATTTTTTAATTGAAGGAGATTGCAGGGCCCTACGTTTTAGGAGACCTGTAAGCCCATTCAGGTGTTGTATGCCAATGAGACCCGGACGAGAGGAGATCAATTGCAGTTCTTTTATTCAGCTGCGTGAAAGAGCCAGGTGAACAATCCTCTGCACATAGGCAAGGAGTGTTGCACCCACAGTTTACTTCCAACAGCTTTTATACCTTTCTTTTGGTTTTCCACTCTTGAATCTCCAGTCATCCACCCTGTTTATCTATATCCCTTTGACCATCTGTTATTCTTTTCTTATGTGTGTACTTTGCTTATCTATTCAGAGCATAGTTACTCTTTTCTTACGTACAGTACTTTGCTTATCTATTCAGAGTACAGGGCCCCTCTGCTCCTTGTTTATCTGTTTAGAGCATAGGACCCCTTTGCTCTTTGTGAGATTATACAAAATTGGCTGTTTTATCTGTTTAGAGCATAGGACCCCTTTGCTCTTTGAGAGGTTATACAAAATTGGCTGTATGATATTAATCATGTCAAACTCTGGGGTAGGTTTATGCGGTATTCAGACTATATAGATTTGTGGCATAATACATACAGTCAACCTTCGACTTACAAACGGCCCTATTTACAAACATTTCGACTTACAAACCACTCTGATAGAAAAACATTGACTCGACTTGCAAACTTAGATTCGAGTTACGAACTGAAAAACCGTGCGGGAGGTGGGGAAAACGCGAAATTTGAACTTTCAGTTAACCGTTGGCCAGTGAAGAGGGTACCTGTCTGCTTCCTCGCTCTTCCCAGCGTTTTGAGAGTGGATTTGGAGACAGTCTTCAGACTGCCTGGTACTGTCTGGTATTGCCTGGTACAATGCTGTACGGGCTGTATTTTTATTTTTTATTTTTTGGCTTTTTTTAAATGTTTGATTTTTGGATTTTTAAAAAATGTTCCCTCCCTCCTTTGCTGCCCCCTTTTTCCCCAAAAGGTGTTTATATTGGCTTGTCTTGATTGAAAAGGTGCTTTTCAAGGTGATCTGTTGTCTGAAAGGTGCTTGGTTTTTCCCAGAAGGT